ACCGCCTGAGACATCCCCACAAAATGGCCGCGAACGAGCCGTGCAACCACCCCTGGCGGCTCCCCTTAGGGGTGCTGAAATGAGCGCCTCGCTCGAGACATCCTCCAAATCTGCTCCGAAAGCGAAGGATGTTGGGCACAGAACCAGGCAAACCGCCTGAGACATCCCCACAAAATGGCCGCGAACGAGCCCGTGCAACCACCCCTGGCGGCTCCCCTTAGGGGTGCTGACAACCAGCGCCCGCTGAAGACATCCTCACAATCTGCTCCTCCTCGCAAAGGATGTTGGGCCAGAAACAAGCAAACCGCCTGAGACATCCCCACAAAATGGCCGCGAACGAGCCCGTGCAACCACCCCTGGCGGCTCCCCTTCGGGGTGCTGAAACCAGCGCCCCGCCTGAGACATCCTCACAATCTGCTGTGTGTTGAGTAAGTCTCAGACTATGAGTAAGTCTGAGTATGAGTACGCCTGGGTATGAGTAAGTCTGAGTATGAGTAAGTCTGAGTATGAATATGTCTTAGTGTGAGTAAGTCTGAGTATGAGTACGTCTGGGTATGATAATGTCTGAGTATGAGTAAGTCAGAGTATGAGTAAGTCTGAGTATGAGTAGGTCTGAGTATGAATATGCCTGAGTATGAGTATGTCTGAGTATGAGTAAGTCTGAGTATGAGTATGTCTGAGTAAGAGTAGGTCTGAGTATGAGTAGATCTGAGTATGAGAGTATATGAGTATGAGTAAGCCTGTGTATGAGCAAGTCTGGGTATGAGCAAGTCTGAGTATGAGTAACTCCGACAGGAGGGGAGGAGGAAAGAGGAGGAGGGAGAGTGAGTAGGAGGCGTCCAAGTAATAACAAGAACCCCATCTTAGGATATGGGAACAAGCAAACCGACTGAGACATCCCCACAAAATGGCCGCGACGATGCCGTGCATCACCCCTGGCGGCGCCCCTGAGGGGTGCTGAAACAGAGCCCCGCCTGAGACATCCTCACAATCTGCTCTCCAAGCGAAGGATGTTGGGCCAGAAACAAGCAAACCGGGCCTGAAAGATTGGGGAAAAATGCGCGAACGGCCCGGGGCAAACCACCCCTGGCGGACTCCCCTTAGGGGGCTGGAACCCAGCGCCCCCGCTTGAGAAATCCTTCAACTTCTGATGTGTTGTTGAGTATGTTGAGTATGAGTAGGTCTGAGTATGAGTATGCTTGAGTATGAGTAAGTCTGTGTATGAGTAAGTCTGTGTATGAGTAAGTCTGGGTATGAGTAGGTCTGTGTATGAGAAAGTCTGTGTATGTGTACGTCTGGGTATGAGTAAGTCTGAGTATGAGTAATACTGTGTATGAGTAAGTCTGGGTATGAGTAAGTCTGTGTATGAGTACGTCTGGGTGTGAGTAAGTCTGTGTATGAGTAAGTCTGAGTATGAGTATGTCTGAGTGTGAGTAAGTCTGAGTATGAGTAGGTCTGAGTATGAGTAAGTCTGAGTATGAGTAAGTCTGAGTATGAGTAGGTTTGAGTATGAGGAAAGAGGAGGAGGGGAGGAGGAAAGAGGAGGAGGGAGAGGGAGTAGGAGGCGTCCAAGTAATAACAAGAACCCCATCTTAGGATATGGGGATGAAAAGAGGAAGGACGGAAAGAAGGAAGTAGGAGGAAGGAGAACGCGGGGACAGTCTCTTCAAAACGATGACCCAACACCACAGGATGGTTGGGAAAATAGATACTCGCGCGAATCGACGAAGGAAACAATATGACATCATGCTCATGTGCAACCACACTACTGCGTCCAATGCCGCACTGCACATGGCACGACTGTAAGCATTGCAGTCAGATCAAAGAACACTCACCTTGAATGCACCAGAGTCGCGATCGATGGACACAATGAACAAGTGCTCGTTGAAAGTGAAGGATCTATACCTGACGAGGGTGGGGAGCACTGATACCATTGCGTCAGTGTCAGCTGCTTTGGGCAATAACACTGTCACTGGAACGATATCAAGTTGCGCGTAAGCTCTTGTAGGTGAGATAACACCTGTCAAAGACTAGACAAATAGGAGCAATGTCAGGTCGGTTGTGACCGACCAGTTATATCACAACGGCAGTGCATGAACAGGATCCAGCCAGTGGCGTAAGGAAATCTTGCGAAATGGAGGATGGCCAGACATGCGCAAAGCGAGCACGTAAACGCGAAGGGAAGCACGATCAAAGCACTCGGTGCTCTTCGGATGCACTCTGGAAATCATCCAGCAAGCATTGCTGGAGACCCTACATTCTCCCATCCACCCACCGACGTAATGAACCAAACCAACGCATGGAAAATAAGAACTTTCGCCGAATCGACCCGTGAATCAGAGTCCCGGGGACCAGAACGGAAAGAAGTTTCGCTCTCGGCGCTCCGTTGCCAGTCCCCCCTACGAAATCCTGCTGACATTGATCCCCCAACCTCCTGGCATTACTTGGCATGGGGGAGACAGATTCTGTGAAAAAAACGGATTCTGAGAAAGGCTGGCATGAGGGACGTGCCTTCCGCAAGAATAGCTGTGCATCTTGATTTGTTCAAGGGCGAGAAGAAACCAGAACCAATTTCCGACAGACTGCCCTTCACTGATGGCGAGAACCCCTCTGACGAATCTTCCAGCAATGACGAAGGGGGGGGCCGAGGCCCAGAATGCAAGGACGCCGAGGAGGACAAGGGGGAGACGTCGGCCTGGAATCTGAGGCTTGCAGCACATCGGAACGCTCACCGCCGAGGCTTTCCACCAGTTTGACGTCAGGATGCCAACAAAAAAAAACGCGACGAAGAGCCGGCCCCAAAGAAGGAGACTCATGTCTCGAGCAAACCGAGACGCTGTGTCTCGGTCGGACTGGCCCATATAGGGTTTCGTTGGGCATGTCCTCCTACAGGCGGAATGTGGACGAAACACAAAAAAATAGCCAACACATGCTCACAAAGGTTAAGAAATCGTCAAGAGGTCGTCCCCACGCTATTTTTTCATTATTCTTGAATTTCCCTCCTGTGGAGGGACAGGCCCGACTTAAAAATAGGGAAACGTCAAGCCGAAATCAACTACAAATCTACGAGAAAAATCGAACATCAAAACCGGACGCTCCTGGACAGAATGCGCGTGCAACGCAGGGGCCGATGCAGATGTCCGCCCCTGGGCCCGAACCACCAGGGTCTCTTGGGGCCTCCGGAGCACTCTGGAGGCCTCTGAAGCTCTCCAGAGGTCCCCTGGGGATCTCTCACACGAGCATCACTTCCCATCCACACCAGCGTGGGCTCGGCCCCACTGGCCGACTTACCCCCCTGATGGGGATACAGGCTGCTCTCTTCGGGTGTCGAGGGGCATATCCCCAACTGAGGTGGTGAGACGGTGGGGCTCGAGATGTGGATGGGGATGGGGATAGGGATCGGTTGAACGATACTGATTAATTATAGGAAGCCCATGGAGGCCCAAGAAGGAGGTCAAAAGACATCCCAACAAATCAATGGCCCTCCCCCTCGGTCAGGACGGCGGCGACGGCGAGGACGACGACGACGTCGAATATCACGGCGACGACCGCAACGACGACGACGACGACGACGACGACGACGACGTCGAATACGACGGCGACTGGGGAAACCAAAAGGTACCGACACCGCTACTCCACAGACCTCTCCTGGCATGCGTTCTGACAGAACTTCGACGCGACTCTAGCCGTGGCTACGAGGGCCTCCCAGGAGACTCAACGTGGCGACAATGATGGAGGTGTATGGCGGCATCGGTATACCTGATCCTCCTCCGAGCAACGGCGGCGGCGGCGGCGGGCGCAAGGCGAGCGCGCCCGAGCAACGGCAACGACCACGACGGCAACGGCGGCGGCGGCGGCCATGGCGGCGATGGCGCCGACGGCGACGGCGGCGACGGGCGGAGCCGGCGGCGGCGCCGGACGGCCCAAGGCGGGCGCGCCTGGAGGTTGCCGTCCCCCCCGGCGCGGCGGCGTCCGAGCCGGAGGAGGGCTCGTTCAACCGCGGCCACCTGTCCAGGGGGAGCTGCACCTCGCCGCCGGGGTCACGGGGGCCCCCTTTGCGGAGGAGGGGGAGCTAAAGGATCGAGAGGGCGCAACCACGAGACCGGGGCGCTGGTCTGTGACACCTTGAGGGACCGTGGGCTCCAACGATGCGGATCGCTCGATGTCGGCCGACACCGAGCGACCAGCGGCGCTCAACCTTGAGCGCTCGCGACAAGGTCGCCGACGCGTCGACACGATGCGAATGGCAAGCCGCATGTGAACCCTACACCTGCACGGGACAGAGTTCTGAAACGCCGGCCGGGGTTCAGACTTCGAGGGAAGTCTACAGCCAAGTGAACCCCAGCAGGGGTGCGCGATGACCCAGCATCGAGTGGACCTGCAGGGGTAGAGGCTCGTGCAGCGGGTCGCAGAACCGAGCGAAAACACTACGTAGGAGGGAGCGAGGATCGGAACGGATCGCGGCGGACTTGCTCCTTCAACTTCGGCCTCTGGAGGCTCTGCTGAGGACCTGGGGCCGTCGAGAATCCGCTCCAGAAGGAAAAACCCGTCGGGGAGGAGGCACCGCAGGAGAAACGGGGCCGGCAGAGACCGGCACACCGGGGGCAACGGACCCGCGAGTCATGCAGCACCACACAGCACATTAGACCAACGCCAGGAACATATTCGCGATGTTGGAACACCGAGCAGCACCACACGGCACCACAATGGCAATGACGGGGCACCACACGGCACAGCGCGGGCCACGGATCCAGGAAGTGGAGACAAGGCACCACCACACAGCACGAAGCGGACAACAAATACAACTTGGGGACACAGCAGCACGAGATTGCCTGACAAGTGACAGATCCGAGACAGAGGGGCACGGCAACGTATGGCACGCGGGCACCAGGTCAAACAGAGAGAGCGGCACAGACAGCACCACATCGCACAGCTGACGACAGCCCACTGCATTACGGCGGGCAACGCATCCAAAGCTCTCTTGTGCGAAGCACGGCCCCCTGGCCTAGGCTGCAGAGCAGCCGCACAGCCCTCGGCGCTCCGGAGAGAGAGAGAGAGAGAGTGCCAGGAAGCGAAGCAGACGAGACCAGTGAGAGGGGGGGGCGCACACTGGGGGAGCCAGGGGGGCACATCGTCAAGGACAAGGGAGATCGGGTCCCCCCGAGCGGGGGAGAACAGGGCGGACGTCTCCAAGAGGTCTTCCGCAGAGGGCTTCACGGGCCCGCAGAGGAAGTTCACGGGCCCGCGGAGGGCCCGAGGCGTCCAAGAGCTGCGAGCCCCGAGCCTCGGTCCTCGACGGGAGGGCTTGTCCCCGAGAGCAGGGGCCACTTCCTCGGGGAGCCCGGGTAGGCTCTGCCAGTGTTGGCGGCCGTAACTCCCAGAGTTTGTAGCTTCTCTCTTCCAAGCTAAGGGTGCTTCTGAACCATCGTGCCGAGTGCACCTTTCACGCGGCCAACTGCTGCAGGACCAGCCTTGCAAAGCCAGCACGAGTGCGGAAAGGCACGCGGAAGCCATCGAAGCAAATGGCCACGCTGGGGGGCGACCGAGCGAGCGAGCGCCGCTGCTGCTCACCCTCCAGAAGACAGCGGCGGGGCGGAGCCGTGGGCCCCCCTGTGCGAGCATGTAGCAAACCAGTGGAAAGCTGGACCTGGAGGAGAGGGGTCCAGGAAGTGGTTCGCCGTGCTCGGGGCCCCTGAAGCGCGTTTGTCTACGACTCGCAATCTCGCGGCAGGTGCTGGGGATGCTCAACCCCCCCACCTGGTAATGTTACGACTCGCGCCGGCGCCGTTTTGGGAATGGCCAGGGGCAGCAAATCAATTCCCAAACGGCGCCGGCGCGGGTGGTGACGTTACCAGCCCCCTCGCCCCCCGCAGCCCTGCCCCCCACCGGTAACGGCGGTAGGTAGCAGATGCACCTGGGACCCGGGGCCATCAAACACCTACTCGGGACGCAGAGCAGGTTCTTGGGAAAGGGCCCTGGGGTCCAGGGCCCGTTCCGCTCAGGGCCCCCTCCCTTCATGGCGGCGGAGGCGCTCCCTCTATCTTATCCATGGCTCGTGGGTTGGTGCGCCCGAGACGGGGACGGACAAGATGAGACGACGCGCAGCAGCAAACGCTGTCCGAAACCGATAGCGGCCGCTGCTGGGCAGGCGCCTCATTCTCCCAAGTGGACAACGGCCGCGGCGCACAGACAGCGAGACCTGCCCACGATGGGCACGAGCTGGTGCCGGTCTTCGTCCCGACTCTTTCCGCCCCCGTCCCGATCGCACAGAGAGTCAATCGGGCAAGTAGCGAGGACTATCCGTCGGGCACGAACTTCGGGTAGGGCGAAAGGGGGGGATAGCAAAGGGGGGGTTTGAGAATCAGCTCACGTAGCTGATTTTTCCGGCGCCTCCTGGTTCCAGAGGCGGCTATGTATCGAGGAATGGGCCCCTCGGTGAGGCCGAAACCAGCTGCATGCAGCAAATTTCGTAACCCTCCCTTTCCCAATCCCCCCCTTTCGTCCAGCCCGAGAACTGCGGCCGACCTCCGGTTCCTGCTTCCGCTTCCGCCCCCGCCCCGATGGCACCCGAGTGTGGGAGCCGAGAGCCGGTCGACAATGACGGCAGGGGATCCCCAGCTGGGGAAGGACGAGAGCACGAGAGGGCACGCGCGCGAGCCCCCTCGAGATGAGGGGGAGCGATGGGGGCGGACCCGCTCGGAGGGGAAGCCTCGGCCTAGAGTCGACGATACCTCGCCGAGAGATCGGCGATACAGTCAACCCCCATAGTGAGGATGCGCGGTAAGAATGCAAGGGCCTTGGACGCCCATGCCGAGGCTCTTCGAGCGAAGCTGGACATCGAAAGTGGTTGAGAATGGACCGAAGATGACCGACGGGGCAAGGATGCAAGGGTACCCTTAGGAAGTCTGTCAGCCTTCCTATGCGGTTTGACTGTAAGCACGTTCCTGGGCGGGGTGTGCAATCAGGCTCTCTTCGGCGATGCAGAGGCGCTTGGGGGCTGATACCTTCCCCTCAAGCTTGATCATAGAGGCCTCCTGAAAGGGGTCGGATCACGTCGCCGATGCATCCGCGATGCATCGGCGACGTCGGCATGGAGAAAGTCGGGCTGCACGCCGAGCTGCAATGCCGATGCATCGGCGATGCGGCGCGGTCCTCTGACCCCGTCTGCTCCGACCCAATCTGGGAGGCCTTGATCGGGGGCGCGCAAACGTGGATTAGCGATCCATGGATTTGGCGCGCGGTCGCCAAATCCAAGGATCGGGGGAGAAGGTGCCCTCCCCAAAATGCGGCCGGTGCCGCCACGCTCGGCGGCGGAAAGCCGCCATTTCACATGGAAACGGGACCCGGCGCGAATCCACACCACCTTGATCCATGTTTGCGATCGCCTGGACCCGGGAGGCCCGGAGGCCTCCTAAGGGGAACGAATAATGACATAAACACAAAAACTCGGAGGTCCGCGCGGACTTCTCGGGTCGGCGCCGGACCCGGGAGCGCGCCAGGGACGGCGCCGGAGGCGCCGCCAGGGGGGTCCAGCGCGGATCCGAGAAATCCGCGCGGACCTCCGAGTTTTTATGCTCGTGTCATTCTTCGCTCCCCTACACTCAGGTCGGGCGTGTCCCCCTACAGGCGGATATTAGATAAAAAATTAAGATTACAGGGAAAATATATCAAAACGGTTAAAGATAACTGAAAAAAAGTCCCCAGACTACGTTTTTACTATTTTGAATATTCCCCCTGTAGAGGGACATGCCCGACTTGACCCCCCCCCCGACGTTGCCCCTGACGAGACCTCCCCCCGCGGTGGCCCGCCTCCGCGGCGCACATGCGGGTCTCCGCGGTGCCTCGCCTCGGGGAGCAGCGGATGTTTTCCACCACCACCACCAGAAGTTGGAGGGGGGAGGAGGAGGAGGAGGAGGAGGAGGAGGAGGAGGAGGAGGAGGACCCCTTCCCCCCTCCAACTTAGGGTGGTGGTGGTGGAAAACAGGCCCATCAGCAGCGGGGCGCTGGCGCGCCAGGGCGCGCCGGGCGCGGGGAGGAGCACGGGCCGGGGGATGTCCTTCACCGCCCGGACTGCGCGGCACACCGTCGCGCGCCCCGAGGCGCGAAGCCGCCGCCGTGCGCCCTGGCATCCACGCGTCGCACAAAGAAAGAAGAACTCACAGCAGAAGAAGTCAGGAAATAATACAAAAGAATTAAGAAAACTCAAATAATAATAATGATGGCAAAGAATAATAATAATAACAACAATAATAATAGTAATGATAATAACACTAATGATAATAAGAGAAGAAGAAGAAGTCACAGCAGAAGAGGTTCGGCCATGCTTTGTGGACTGGGTCGATGGTGGCAAACTCGCCCGCCCCAGGAGCTCCGCAAGAGCTCCCCGCGACGTTTCTCTGGAATCTCCGAAAAACATCTTCCCGCGAATCTCCGAAAAAACGTAGCACCTAAAAGACCGCAAGCGAAATCTCCAAAAAAAATCGAAACGACTTCTCCACGGGTCCCTGCTGGGCCCCAGGACCGCCAACAAAACGCTCGGGACGAAAAGCCGTTCCCTGGGAAAGGTTTCCCGACCTCTGGGGGTCCACGCCGTGAAAGAGCACGCGGCTGAGGATGCCTGGGCATCCTGGCGCGCCCTCTTTCTGCCAGCGCGCTGGCATTAATGGCGAAGGCGGGTGCAACACCCACGTAGCTCGTCGGTCTGCAGGGCCTTGCTCTCGCCTACAGAAACTCTGCAGGCGCACTGGAGATTCACCGCCGTGGTGGACGGCAGATTCGCGACAGGATTCCAGCACAACACCAGGACAGGGAACATGGTGCGGGGCGGAACACGAGAGTGGGGACCCCTGACATGGACGAGAGAATGTGAGACGGGATTGAATGGACAGGGTGGGGGGAACAAATAAATTGGGGCAGCTGCTGGGCAGCTTGGAACAAAAAGGAGCGAAAACGTTCACGCGGAGCCTACCAGGACGCTCTCATCCCGACCCTTAGCCTCCCCCGCCTTCACGACCCCACTGCCCATCTGCTCTCTGCACTCTCCCGACTTTTCCCCCTCCCGCGCCCGGGCGGTTCGCATGCCTCCACCCTTTCCCTCCCGCATCCTCTCACCGCTGCATCTCCACTCCTCTCTCCATCTGTCCATCCCTCCTTCCCTCTATGTTTGTATCACCCTCCTCCCTCCTTCCCCTGCCATGTGCCGCGCCCTCCTGTTCTCTCCCCGCAGTGAGGCACCCAACGAGGAACCGAGAGAGCCACATGTCACAATCCAGCACTCCAACGGCCAACGGTAACCTAGACAGGGGCCGCCTGCATCAGATCCAGATCGCCCCTCCAGCTATAACAGAAAGCCAATCGGGGCATGAACGCGGCCATGGCGAAGCTTTGGTCGAGATCCAGCCGCCGGAAAAGGTCCCGACCCCCTGGGCCCACGAACGGGCACACTTATAGAAAATGTTGGTTAATGCGGCGCCCCGCCCCCCCCTAGCGCCTCCTAAGGAGGACGAAGAGCTCCCCGCGCAGGCCCCAGCGCATGGGCTGGACCTTAAGGGACCGGCGGCGGGTCGCACCTCTCCTTCGCCCCCCTCCTCCATACAGTTCCTCATCCGCCTCCCCTCCATGTCCTACACCTCATCCTCCTCATCATGATGAGCATCATCATCATCGTCATCAGCATCACCATCATCCGAATTATCTTGCGTCGTCGCCCCCTACCAGATCATCCTCTCATCCTCAATATCCCGCCTGCATCTCTTCGTCCTCATCCTCCCGCCCATGGCCCATCCTCACCCTGCTAATCGTCCACATGCTGATCCTCCTCCACCTCCTCCCCTCAACGTCAACGTCCATATCCTCGTCGCCCTCCTCCATCACCAACTCGTAATCCGACTGATCATGACGAAAACCCCATCCATCGTCATGCTGCTGGTGTCACTACTGATTGCTGCGACCACGACTACGACTGCGTCTACTACCACTACAACGACCGCTACTACTGCAACTATCACTACCACTGACAGCACCACGACCACTACTACTTACCACCCCAAGCTGCCACGATTGAACCTACTACTACGTCAACCACTACTACGACTTAACAATTACTACGACGACTACTACTACTACTACTACTACTACTACTCCTACTACTACTACTACTACTACTACTGCTACTACTACGACTACTACTTACTACTACTACTACTACTACTACTACTACTACTACTACTAATACTACTACTACTACTACTACTACTACTACTACTACTACTACTACTACTACGACTACTACTACTACTACTACTACTACTACCACTACTACTACTACTACTGCTGCTACTACTACTACTACTACCACTACTACTACTACTACTACGACGACGACGACGACGACGACGACGACGACGACGACGACGACGACGACTACTACTACTACTACTACTACTACTACTAGTACTAGTACTAGTGCTACTACTACTCGGGTTGACCATACCCAGCTGGCCCAATTTATTCCGTGGGCGGTTGGAAACGTGGGTGGTGGGAATCCTGGGGGGAGAACCGCCGCGCACGAAAAGCACACGAAAACCAAACGATTACCATACGATTACCATACGATTATGAGACGACTACCATACGATAACCATACGATTACCATACGATTGCCATACGACTACCATACGGTTACCACACGACTACTAAACGATTGCTATGCGTTTCCCATACGATTACGAAACGACTACCACACTATTACCAACGACTACCATACGGTTTCCATGCGACTACCATTCGACTACAATACGATTGCCATATGACTACAATACGAGTACCATACGATTAACATACGAATCACCATACGAAAACCATACAATTACCATACGGTACCACACGATAGCCGTACGATTACCATACGACTACCCCATACGAAAGCCATACGACTACCGTACGGCTACCATACGATTGCCATACGATCACCGTACGATCACCATACGATTACCATGCAATTACCATGCGAAGGCCATACGGGAACCATACGGAAACCGTACGAAAAAAACCCATGCGACTACCATACGGTTACTACACGACGAGCACACGATTATCATACGACAATCATACGATTACCACACGAAAACCTTACGATTACCATGCGGAAGCCATACGATTACCATACAATTAACATACGATTGCCATGCGAAAACCGTACGGTTGCTATACTACCACACAATTTCCATGCGAAGACCATACAACGAAACAAAAAAACGATTACCATACGGTTACCATACGACTACCATACGATGACCATACGATTACCATACGACCACCATACGAAAATAACAGGGGGGAACAACAAAGACAACAAAAAAAAAAAAAACGATTACCATACGACTATCATGCGACTACCATACGATTACCATGCGACTACCATACATATACACACGAGTAACATACGACTACCGTACGAACACCATACGACTACCATACGGTTGCCATACGACGACCAACACACTACCATCCGATTACCCTGCGATTACCATACCAAAACATTAGAATTACCATACGATTGCCATACGATTACCATACGAATACCATGCGATTACCACACGATGCCCATACCATTACCATACGACCACCATGCGATTACCATGCGAGTACCATACGAAAAACCATGGGAAAAACACCCGGAAACCATACGATTACCACACGAATACCATACGATTACAATACGAATACCATACGACTACCATACCATTGCCATAATATTACCCGACGATTGCCATGCGAAAACCACGCGGTTACAATACGGTTACCATCCGGCTACCCTACGATTACCATACGAAATCCATACGAAACCCATACGAAACCATACGATTACCATACGAGCGCCATACGATTTCCACCCGAAAACCCTACGATTACCATGCGGAAGCCATACGGTAACCATGCGAGTACCGTGAGGGAACCACAAGATTACCAAGCGAACGCCATATTTCCATACGGGTACCATACGACTACCATACGAGTATCATGCGATTACCAGACGGTTACCATACGAAAAAAAACAATACGACGACCATGCGATTACCACACGACTACCATACGACTACCAAACGATTACCATACGACTACCATACGGCTACCATACGATTGCCATGCGACTACCATACGATTACCATACGATTACCATGCGGAAGCCATACGGCTACCATACGACTACCATACGATTGCTATGCGACGACCATACGATTACTACACGAACAGCATACGATTCCCATACGACTCCCGTACGACTACCACACGGTGACCATATGATTCTCCTTCGATTACGATCAGAGTTCCATTCGATTACAACACGATTGCCATACAATCCCAGAGGCTCCCTGGGGCAAATAGGGTAAGGCCAACGTTACTACTACTACTACTACTACTACTACTACTACTACTACTACTACTACTACTACTACTACTACTACTACTACGACTACGACTACGACTAGGACTACTAC